GCTGCAATAACATGTGAGCAAGGGATTTTTTCAACATCATACACACCACAAGAACACTTCCTTTGTTGCAAATCAACAATACAATCTCGTGATCCACCCTTAACAAAGAAACGCCAGCCATCAATGGGTTCTGCCTTCAAATCTCCTGCCTCATATTCTCGAATTGCCAATAGATACTCTACTCCACGGGTATGGCTCGTTGTGAGACTTAGAGCATCTTCACGCCTTTTATGATACCATCTCCCGAGCTTTGTTCTTATAAACTCTAACAGAAATGTGATGGGAAACCCTTTGGCTTCCTTAACAGCCGCATTGATCGATTCTGCGATGTTGCTAGTCTTTATGTTGTACCTGTCTCCCGGGAAATGGACTCGTGACCATAACCTCGGGTCCGCAGTCTCCAAATATTGAGCAAGTCTGGGGTTTACCTCTCGGATTGCATCCATGTTTCGATTATAATCGTAAGTCGTATGTGCATATGCAGCACCTTTCACCAAGTACATGAGTTGCTTCCCGTGAAACTTAGTCACAATGTTTTGCTGCAGATGATAGTAACATATACCTCATGTTGCCCATGGTATGACATTCTTAAATGCATCAGCTATGGAGTCGTGCCGGTCAGAAACTAGGACAAGCGGATACCCATCTGAGAAACATCTACTCAATTTGGTGAAAAACCAATTCCATGAATCATTACACTCAGAATCCACAATTCCAAAAGCCAAAGGAAATATCTGAAAGTTACCATCCTGTACGGCTGCCACTAGCAAAACACCTCCATACTTCCCAGTTAGATGAGTCCCATCTACAACAATCACTCGCCTCAAGTACTTAAAACCAGCTATGGAAGCTCCAAATGAAATAAAGAGGTACTTAAATCGATCCATCTCATCGCATACAAGGTCTGTGACACTTCCCGGATTAGCTCTCTCAATTTGACGCAAATAAGAAGGCAGCTTCTCATATCCATCTTCTGCTGTTCCTCTCACCAATTGTTGGGCATATATCAAAGCTCTATAAGATGTGGTGTAACTGAGGTTTAGACCAAACATCACCTTCATAGAATCTCTGATATGCTTTGGCACAATTCCATCGATTATGCCAACTCGTTCCACAAACAGAGCCCCAATGTACTTAGGTGTACAACGTCTACGATGAGCTGACCGGTCTATCATAGAACAAGTATGATCTTTCAGATACTTTGTCACCCAGAATGTGTTTGCTTCGTTCTTCACACCCGCTCTAACCATCCAAACGCATCCTTTGACTGAACATTTTGCTACAAACAAAGACGTTGTAGACTTATATACTTTGAAAGCAAATCTCTTCATAACTGCCATCAATCGCAACTCAGATACAAGCTTCTCCTTGCTAGGAAAACTCTGATTAACAAAGATTTTAGACGACCAACTACTATCCAGTCGATCAAAACCACCACAACGCTCTCTTACACCCTCAACTTCATCCTCATCTTTAACTTTCCCGTACTCACTGTAATCCACATCTGAGTCATCATACTTTTCTTTCATATTCTGATTAACTTCATCTTCATTCAAACTATCAGCTTCATCCTCATTTTTAACGTTTTCATCCCAATCTTCAGCGTCTTCATCCCAATCTTCTTCAGCATCAGAGCACGTATCCGCATGTCCATCCACATCATCATTCTCATGGTCCACTATCCTACTCGAAACACAAAGGCGAACACCATGCATCTTACTTAACTCAATCAAGCTCTGAACATGTCTATCATTTGTGACATACATAGGCGGAGAATCAGGAGGCATATGTTGAAGCATCTGAGGTGGTAAGGGATAGGATAACTCCACCTTTGTTTCCTTTTCCAGCATATAATCCTCTTGCACCATTCCAAGAAGCTCAACATGTGTGCAACCATCTCTTAAGAACAACATCCGCCCTCATTTGTTATTATCCACCTCGAACTGCCAAACTGATTCAGTCTTAACCCATTCTCCATAAACAGCGGGTATGTGAACCATTCTCTGTGAAAAAAAAAATCAAATCCAAACCACATTAGACATCAACGTTGCATAAGTAGACTTCTCGGTAAGTCGAATGAAGTCTACTTAGTAGACTTCTATAGTAGACTAAGAAGTCTACTCTTAATAAGCTAAGTATCATATAAAACATGAAAACTCATTCGACTATACCTATAAAATATAAACATGCAAAACTTATACATAAGCAAGAAAACTTAATAACAGAAGCTTAGGATCACAAAAATCATAAAAATTCGTTATATATTGTATATAAATGATTTTTTTTTTAAAACAAGAAAAGTAGACTTCTCGGATAAAAGTAGACTTCTCGTAGGTTAGTTTTCCAATTGCCAAAATATTAGTAGACTTCTCTATGAAAAGTAGACTTCTCGGAGAAGTCTACTTTCGTAAGTAGACTTCTCGCAGGTCATTTTTGCAATTGACCAAAAAGTCAAATATTTTGCAATTGCAAAAATGACCTGCCAGAAGTCTACTTACGAAAGTAGACTTCTCCGAGAAGTCTACTTTTCATAGAGAAGTCTACTCTGAAAAGTCAAAGGTTGGTCAATTGCAAAAATGACCTGCTTCTAAAGAAGTCTACTCGAGAAGTCTACTTTATTTTTTTTATTATCAAAGGAAATGGAGTAGACTTCATTCGGACCAAAAGAAGTCTACTTTTTCATGCGGTCAATTGCAAAACTAACATGGGCGTTGACTAGTAGACTTCATTCGGACCGAGTGAAGTCTACTTTCGGAGCCCAGAACTAAAAAACACCAAAATTGACTGAAAATCCGACTTACCACTCGCCTTTAGCTTCTTTTCTGGTCAAGATCTTCGATCCTAGCCACAATGAAAGAAGCACAACCGCAACAAACAACCAAATCGCCGAAATATAGAAATTTTTATGAACTTCAACTTTTTAATAGACAAATTATAGAGTTTTTGGGAAGAAAATAGAGAGGAAATGGAAGAATAGAAGCTTAAAGGGAAAATAATGAGCTCAACAAACTCAAAAATGGGTTTTTGCCACCATTAAAGCTTCAAAATTGGTTGAAAATGGTGGTTGGGTGAATTGATGATGATGGCATTTTCGTAAATAAGTGAGGAAGATGAGGATTAGTTGGTCAATTGAATTTTCGAAAATAAATAAAATTAATTAAAAACAATGGTAATTTCGTGAATAACTGAAACTATGAGGGATTGTTTGGACTCAAAATGGCAAATGTTGGGAAGATAATTTTTGTGGGTTAGATTTGCAATTCAAATCAAATTTTAGGTCATTTTTGCAAGTATCTCAACTCAAAAAAGCTTTTGGGAGTACAAATACAAAATCCACTGCATATGAGTTAGTAGTATTTTTCAGTCTTGAAGTAGTCATTATTAATAACTATCGAATTTACTCGAGCAAGAGATGAACATGGTTTCTTGAACCTTCTTGTCTTTGATGTAAACCGAGACTATGTTCTCTATCGTATTCATTTTAACCATGAACATGCCTAGTAATCATAAGTGAATTTAGAGAATATAGCATTTCTTTTATTCTCATATAAACGATGGTATCTCACACTCATAAAATAATTTGCCATTAACTTTGTTTAAAGAAGCATCTTGTAATACTCCACTTATATTTTAAAGTTATGAATTCAAATCATTAAAAAAAGACTTTTTTCTTCTACACATACATATAATACTGTTCAACCTCTTAGGAACTGGACAGAGATATAATCTCACACTGCTCTTAACAGATTCAGTTTGACAGAGTTTTCTCTTTAAATTTATTTCTTAAGATTTTCAATTATATAAGTGGGATTACCATCAAACCTCATCTTAAATCATAGGCTTTTAACCTATTCTTCTAAATGATAATAATTTAATACCATGACACACTTTTAATAAATAGATCTTACGTTGTCATCTGATCAAACATAACTTAATGAAATTACTTCATTTAAGATCAATTATCTAAATAGTTTTATGTCATCTTAAGATATGAGTAGCCATTATACACAAAATCTAGTGTATAACTATAGTCGATTGAGTGTACGTATATACTCGTACTAGTTTTTCTCACATATATTTATTATCTACCAAGTTTAAAAACTTATAGATTTTCTTAACTTTATCTAAAACTATAAATTTAAATTCTATAATTAATCTGTTTCACAAAATTAATTTGGAAAATATCAATGATATTTATTTAACTGTTAAGCGTAAAAATAAATTCATTCATGAACTTTTAGTTTCAGATATCAAAAAACAAATCCATAAACTTTTAGTTTCAAGAATCAGATAACCAATTATTATAATTGTATCTATCCAAACTAAATGTGAAATTTTTTAGTTTCAGAAATCAGATAACCAATTAACATAATTGTATCTGTCCAAATTATATGTTCTTTCACAGTTATGTAAATTATTTTTTTATTTCTTTTTGAACAAAGTTTTACAAAGTGAGACTCTTGTTGTTACCTTGGGAAAAAGATGGATCTTGTACTAACTGTAGGAAGCTAATCAGGTCTTTCAACTTATGTCTTTATTAGACGTTTGAATAAACATAAACTAACTTTCCCTCGTAAGGTACGAGGAAACAAAATAATTCACACTACCAGTTTCATCATTTTAAAAACAGATTAAAAATTTATATAAAAAATGTAAAAACGACGCATTCTTTACATCAATTTTACAGAATACGAATATTTATATACTATCTTGATAGCTGTATTGTAAAAGTACTGATATTATCGGGATTGGTTAAATAACTTAAATCAAGTAGTATCATATAGGGAGAATAAAACTGTCACAAGAGATTTACAACAAATCATGTACTATCCCATACATTGTTAGAAAAACCAATTTATTCCAATCATAAAACTTTACATTTGAAAGAAAAAGAAAAAAAAAACCCAAGAATTGAGACCAGATCTTCAACCATGTCAGAAATCTTACAATATGGATCATCTTAATAATACACAAAAGGTTCTTTAGAACAAAGGACCTGTTTAGATTAGAGCCTCTGCCTGCTGAAACCGTGGTGGTTCGCTCTGCAGTTGATACATTTGGTGTTGTGACCAGTACGCGTGTGCCTTCAGAACACGGTCCAGAAGAACCTGCGGCACAGGCTCTCCTCTCCGCTGCTGTGGCGATATCCTCGCCGTGTGGACCAGCGTCTTCCATTTATCCTAACATAAGCAGAGAGACTCAATACAAACAACAACGATAGTACCATTTTCAAACTGTTACAGTAGATACTAACCTTGAGATCTACATAGGTACGGTGCTCTGCGTCCTCAAAGGCACGAACCTTAACGTCTCTCCACCTGCAGTTTCAAACATGTATATACAAAACAGTTCGTCGTCATCAAAAGCAACACGAGGACAAGAACGCTAATTCATTGTTTTGTTTTGTATTCTACCTTCCGGTTCCGAGGTTCTCAACAGCTTGGACAAGTGCTTCTACTTCAGTAACTGAGAAAGGTCGACGAATTCTGCGATGTGCAGCATGCTGCTGCTGCTCAGTCCTTTTAAATTTACGGTTAGGAGACTGAGGTTCTAACAATCCAATGGGAACCAAAGCTCTAGAATCATCTGCTTGGGATGGTGCTGTGTCATGATTAGAGTTCAACATACTGTCTTGGCATAACGTCAAATCATCACAGGCATGCTCTGAGAGGTAACTGGCAGAGAGAGAGAGAGAGAGAGAGAGAAGAAAATAAATGACCTTAAGCCGCAAAAGAATGAACTTTCCTCAGAGAGTGAAGAGAAGTGTGAACCTGGATAACAATGGTTGAGACGTAGTTTCTAAGCAGGGCTCAAGGCTGAAACCAAGAGAGTCCAAGTGAGTGTTCTCCTCAGAGATCCCAGTCTGAAGAAGGGTTTTGCTATCGTCTCGTACTTTCTTCCCTTGAACCATCAGCCCTACTCGGAGTCCATCACCGAGTATGGTGGTCACTGCTTCCATCACCATCCGCTGACAAACCAGACATTAACAAAAAAAAAAGGTAAGTTCTTGATCAGAAATATTAAGCACAACTAGGTTTGTGTATTACACCTTCAAGGAGCCAACAGTAGCAGTTTCTGGAATCTCTACGAAAAGCTCAGGCACCCTAAAAGATTTGATCCGCAGCCTCACTAAACAGAAACGAAAGGAAAAAAAAAACTCAAAATCATACTCTTTTTCTCAATAAAACAATAGCCAACAACGGTTTCAGAGACTGAGACTTACCATGATGGTCCCTTGACACAAAAGACGCATTTCGGCTTTTTATGGAAGATATTGTTCTGCCTCCTGCAGATCAATTTGTGAATCCGCGTTACAGAAACAGCAGCAGAGACTGACAATATCCTAACAAGAGAACGAGAAGATGAATATTTTAATTCTAACCTTTATATGTCTTTGCTTTCAAACGGTAATCATCAGAATTCGAATCAGAAATACTGTCAAAGTATCTCCTTTTCTTGATGGGATAATTCCTCTGATGCTGATGCAAGTAATAACTCCTCTTAGAGCAATACCATGGTTTTGCATCTGCAAAAAGGTACCAAAACAAAATCACAATTATTACAATGATAAACTCAAAACAAAAAAAAACATTAGTCTGAGCAATTTTTACCTGCATTGTTCTTGGAGCCTCCTTTCCAATGTTTAGATGCCAATATCTTCCTGATTCTTCTGTCTCCAATACGAGGCACAGTCCTAGTCACACGAGGGCGAATATACCCGGTGAAGTTTTCATCATCATCATCATTATCTCTACTAAATAAATTTACATCATCCCGAGATCCATGGAGACCATCATCGATCCCACATGCTCCCACCTCGGTACTAATGTTACTACCTATACTAACTACAACATCAGGTCTTGCGTCACCACCATTCACACCAAGCTTAAGCTCCTGACTCAAGTTCTCAACTTCACAAGAATCACTATCATCACCTTTCACCACATTCTCTACTTTCTTACAAGGATCTGTTATCACAGAGCTGAATCCACACCGAACATCAACATCCTCAGATAACTTCACGGTGTTTTCTTCAGCCGGAGTCTCCTTCTTTACAGTATTCTGTACAGATACACCCGAGCTTTCGCCCTCGAGCAGCAAGCTTCCAGCTACGGTGGCCAATAGCTCGATCGCGCACATTTTCTCATCTCCTGACACTTTCTTCTCGTAGATGCGCCTCTTCTGGGGAAAATCGAACAATGCGAGTGATCATGTAAATGGATCATCCATGTTTAGTACAAGAGCTAAACCGAGAGAATAGCAATGCTTATTTTACCCGAACTGATCTCGAAGCTCGTGCCTTTGCAGGCAAATGGTAGCCATCGTCTCCAAATTCCAAGACTTTATGCGACGCCATTACTTGGATGCATAACACGACGGTGTGATTGTCCAAAGCGCGAGAAGCGATCGATGAGAATTTCACAATCTGTAGAATTGGAAACAAGAACCATAAGACTTGATTCACATGAATCATCAACAATTGGGAATATGAGGATAACAGATCGGAGATCTGGGTTTTGGGATTGCATCAGAAGCAAAAACAAAAAAAGGGGTTTTTGAATCGACCCGGAGGAGAAAAATCTTAAAACCATCCTAAAACCCTGATGAAACATAAGATCCGAATCGAGAAGGGGAAGCGTAATTCAATAGATTTAGGCACAGAGAAACCTGAAGAAAAAGCTTCGATCTCGGAATCAAGGAATATTGCAGATTAGAGACACTTCAAATTCTCAGATCGGATTCACAGATTATGCTGTGATAACAAAACGACAAATATCGATGGAAGATGATGATAAGTTTCAAAAGATAATGAAAACAACTTTAAGATCCAGAACCAGAGAACATGAAAATTAGGAATATTTTGCAGATCAAAATTCACATGAAAAACGAAAAAAAAAATTCCTTCGCTGTCATCAAAATATCTCGGACGATCAAACAAAAACACAAAACTTTCGACACAATCGAGAAGACAAAACCATAATTTTGAAAATAAAAAATCTCACCTTTCTATAAATCTTCAGTTCCCAGACGAGAATTCCAAGACGATTAAACAGTTAAAAGAAAATTTCGACGAATTCTCCAGAAAAAATGCGAGATCGGAGACAAAGTATTCAGAATCAGAATTCTTCACGCACTCAACCAAAAATCTTTTCTCACTAACCCATGTTTTCCCCCGAGAAAGTGACGGGAAATTTTTACTTGTTTCAAACGCTACCCATATGATTTTCTCTCACCACCAGAAAAGGGATAATCAAATGAAAGAAAATTAAAATACAAAAATGAAAAACCCTTCAATTCAAAGAACCATTTACGCCTTTTCTGCTTAAACCCCTCCATAGCCTTATAGCTTATCAAATACCGGACGTACCGGTATTACCCGTCCCGTTCTTACCGGCCATAGCAAGTAAAAACATTCACCTAAAGACTCGGTTCTTTCTCCATGCTCGGTGGCCCACGACACACTCGTAAGTCGTAAGTTCTCAGATCTTGACACGTAGCATCGATGTTATCATCACATGGTTTCGGTCCGTGGCCTTGAGAAAATTACGTCTGGTCACTGATATAAAAAACAGAAATCCAATTGGGGAGTATTATTCTTATTTATTTATTTTGACATTTGGGGAGTATATTATTTTAGTTTCTGTGTTTCTTCTGTATTCGTTTTTGCTCTCATTTTTTTCGTCTCGAATTTATGATTTTTTTTGTATGAATGTAAAATGTTACACTATTTTTTATTTTTGATAGAGATTATTGAAAAAACTTAAAATATAGAAAAAATGAAACGAAACTAAAAGCAAAGCTAAAATTACAAATAGAAATAAGATAAATCAATAAATAAAACATTAGGTACAGACAAAAGCTGATCGAAAGATTCTTGAGATGAAACACTGATTTCAAAATTTACATTTAGAAATTTACGCTTATAATTTTTTTAAACTTAAATTTTTATCATCATTACCACTAATACATTCTCAAAACCAAACCTTAAAATCTCACAGAAAAAATTACCTACAGTTTCTTTAACGATAAGCATAAAAAGAGAATGCTTAGATCCACCAATTATTCAATGGCAGCACAGAAATTTCTAAATTTATCAGAAAAACTATCATTGGCTACTATTCATAAATTTGAAAAATGTGCAAAAATCATCTCCTACAAGAAGAAATTGGGCGCTAAACAAAATCTGTCATCTCTACTCAAATCAAAATCACTACCAAAACTAAGACTAAGATCATAATCCACCAAAAAATTGAACTTTTCAAATGTTATTGTAATCTAAATTGTAAACTGCGAATTTACAAATTTTTTTACTTTTCTTTATATTTTCTTATGTTTGCTTTTTTCGACAATTTTTTGATGAAAAGAACATAATAAAATTCTCAATAGTATAAATTTATATCTACTTTTTTATTTGTATTAAAAGTTCACATAAAAATATAAGATTATTGATAGTTTGTTATATCTTGCTATATATAAAGTTGAACATGTTAATATACAATCATAGTTATAATTGAACATCAACCAATTAAAAATGTTGTATTTAACTAAAAATAGGTGAAAAGTAAAGTCCTCTTAACTGGTAAAAGTGGTAACTATATTAAGCAGAACACAGATTTATTCCAAAGTATTTTACTCTAAAGTGGTTATCCCCAGTCACACCCTATATAATTAGTATATAATAAAAAAAAATAGCGCATATATTTCGTTATATGTATGTATTGTAGAATATTCTTTTCTAGGATCATATTTTATATTCATTTTATATTTGAGCGGTGATGTTTGTATGATATCATAAATTCAAAACCACCCACCTTTTATCCTTCCCAACTTTTTCGAGATAGGATAAGATGACATAATTATTTTATTGTAATTTAGGAAAAGGCGTAGTAGGCCTTCGCACTCGCATATTTTTTGTTATCATCAATGATTGTGGGGGCTAAATACAATAATTTGTCGAACTAGTTTATAAATTTCGACTTAAAATTTTTTTTTTTTTAATAAATTTTCTCTCGACCTTTTTATACGGTTTGCCTATAAAGCTCATTTTCCAATTCCATAAGCAAATCGTAATATATCACTTGATTCAATTCTCTAAATCTCTTAAATGCATTCAAAGAGCTTCTTTGTATTATTCTTTTAGTTACACAGTTTGTGACAGAACCACAGATTAATACGAGATATATCCTGCAGTAAACTCATTTCCTAACCAGCCGTGATATTGATTAACTTCACCAGTATCAATTATTTGAATACACTAATGTAAAGGAAAACAAACATTACATTAAAAAAATGCGTCTGCCGGAAGTCGAACCCGGGTCTATTAGTTGAAAGGCAATTATCCTAACCGTTGGACTACAGACGCTATTTGTTTATAATCTGAAACTTGTTTTAATCAAGTAAAGATTGTAAATGAATTGTTTTTACATATTTCTCCTCCTTCGGTTTATATTTAAAAGCAGAGAGAAGAACTGAGAAGAGAAGCAACATGCGCATGACTCGGCCAACTCTACGCATCAAATGTTCAGATTGCACAACTTGGTTACTTAGGGATGCTCTCAAAACGCGATAAAGAACATTACAAAACGCAGACGCAATAAAACTGGCTTGCACTGCCTTCAAAATATCTGCGAAAACGCTAAAGAATAGATTACAACCCAATTTGAAGTCTTTCTAAACTATCATCCGTTGGACAAATCAGTAAGTAGTAAAAAATACTAAGTACAGATATGATTCTACAAAACGTCTTGTTATTACATTTTGATGTGAGCCGATGCACCAAATCTTCTAAACCGCCATGTTTCTACCGGTTTGGGCGGTGACAAAAGTGAACGCCCTGCCCCATTCGTGGCTGACAGATTCTTGAATCTTGAAGTCTCCAATGAAAGGCCACCAAGCTTCTTCTGAACCGTTTGTCCCGGTCCAAATGACCTTCTCTGGCACATTCATAAAATCAAACTCCAGTGGCTTTGGTGGTGGCGGTTGCTGTGGCTGCGGCTGCGGCTGCTCGTTAGCCTTTTTGTTGGATTTGGTCGGCCGCTTATAGCTTCCTCGGCTTTCAGAACGCTACAAGGCAAGAAGACGCAAACACGAGTTTAGACTTTTAAGTTTTAAGTCTCGTAATTAAAGCTATAAAGAGAGAAATGTTTCAGACTCACTTCTGATTGTGTGTCACCGTTTTCAGCTTTCTTGGCTGCTTTTTTTGATACTCCGTGTTCCAAGTAGTACATCACCTCGTTTCTGGACCGGAACTTATGACCGGTCACTGGTTCGTAGTAGAACTACATTATAAAAAAGTCAGAAATTAAAGTATTACATTATCACAGTTTTTCGAAGTAATGGTCTTAATTTCAACTTGAGACAAAGCATTTTCATCCAATTAGCATTGCAATTTGTGAAAGTAATCAGAAATCACTTATCTTTAATTAAGCAAAACAAAAGTCATAATCTTTTAGCTTCTCTAGAGCAAAATTCCACATATGACTAGTTAAAAGCAAGAATCTTTATTGTTATCTCCAAATTCCCAAATATAATCAATAAGATCATCATAATCCGAAAGCAAACACCAATATCTTCAGAATACAATGAAATTTTTTTCCAAATTGAGATCAACAAACAACATACATTCTAATTGAATTTTCTACTTCTGCAACAATGATTCCAATTCTAAAAACTAAGCAACAATTAACAGAAAAAAAAGTGAGGCTAATCTGCAAATTTGGATCGAGAGAGGTCAAGAATTGAAAGAGAAAGCATTGGGGAGATTATCACCTTATCCACCAAACCAGCTTTCGTGCCGGAGGTTCGCATCTTTTCTTCGGTTCTCCAACCAGGAGGCAGCCAGTCATTCCCTGGAGACGCACGCTTCCGGGACCTTGATTCCGCCGGAGAAGCTGTGTTTTCCGATGGTGGTTGAACCTGATCCGTGCCGTTCGGCATCCCGGAGCAATGCAATCTAGGGTTCCGATAGAAGCAGTGGTGGTGAGTCGTGGAGATGAATGATCGAACGGCGATGAGGTCGGGAAAGGAATATAAACGACTGAGAGATTTCTAAAAGATTTAATTTTGACTGAATCAGAGTTTTTGTGTAGAAGACGAAAATACCCTTGTAAGTACACCTAATTAAAGGCACTAGACTCAGCTTAAAACGAAACAGTCGTGAGTTTTCTGTTTGAAGTTTTTGAAGTTTGAATTTGCCACGTGCCACGTTTTTCTATAATATGTGATAAAGTCGTCTTGTTTTTGAGCCCATTTTATATGTGTCCATTTTAAGTTAATTGGTACTACTTATCATTGTTGTTTATGTCGGTCGACAATGTAATCTGAAGACCACGGTGTTTGTCTGTCGACAATGTAATCTGAAGACCACGGTGTTTGTGGCTGTCGACATATAAAATCAACAGTTAATTATATAGAAACACCTAATTCGGAATAATTCAAATGGTTTACAAATACCTTTGTCAAGTAATCAGCCCCGGCCCAATGATATTAAGAGTTCTAGGGCAAAAAAATTTTTTGGATCCCTAACATATAAATTTCACTAAATTTTAAATATTTGGACTTTCTAATATAAAAATTTACATTAAATTTTAAAATTTTAGGTTTTTTTTAATAAAATTTTTATTAATAAATACTAATTTAAATTAAAAATATAACTATTTAGGTTTATTTGTTTTAAAACGGGCTCTATTATATACAAAATTTCAAGAATAAATGGATTGGGCCCCTGGACGGGTGCACTTCTGCCCACTCCACTTGGACCGGGGCTGCAAGTAATGTTACAAAAAAAATCGAACTGATTTATCAACAAAAATTATGAAAAATTAGAATTATTTACAAAATTTTATTAACAAAAACAAATATCTAACTCAATTTGTATGTGACTCACCACAATTGCCATAATTTAGGAATTTGAGTTGAGTTATCAATTTTACAAAGACATAACTCAATATTTTCATGCAATCATAACAATATAAAAAAACTCTAGTAAAAAAAAATCAAAAATAATACATGATTGGTAACATTTTTACCAATCAAAGACCAAATCGAAACTACAAGACAATTGTACAAGAAACTTCGAGATTTGAATTCACGTCAATAACTGGCATGTGATTTTACTTCCACAGCTTAGCAAATAGCAATATGTAGTCGTCATCGTGTAATGAATAACACCATTTATAAAGTAATTTCTTATCGATGAAAAAACCACTAGAAAAACAGCCACTCGTTCACGTCTAGAATAGCAGCCACAAATGTAGCTCCCAATAAGTTTTTTTTTGTAACAATAATAATCAAATCATAAACCATTTAGCCACTGTAATATTTGTTACTCCCCCTCTATTAACTCATTCACACGATCAGTATGGGATCTAAACTTATTCATCTGCTTTCCTTCCTAATCACCACTCTCATCTTCCTTCCCTTCATCGCCGCATATCACGTCGGCGTAAACTACGGCACGGTGGCCAATAACCTTCCACCGCCTCACCAAGTTGTCAACTTCATCAAAACAAAAACAACCATCAACCACGTAAAAATCTTCGACGCAAACCCCATCATCATCGCTGCATTTTCCGGCATCACCGGAATATCTCTCACCATCACAGTCCCAAACTCCGACATCCATTCCCTCTCCAAGCTTCCAAAAGCACGTTCATGGCTCTCCAAAAACCTCCTCCCTTTCCTCCCGGCAACCTCAATCCATTACATCGCCGTCGGGAACGAAGTCATCGCCACGTCCGACAAAAGCCTCATCTCTCATCTCTTTCCCGCCATGGAGACGCTTACGTCAGCTTTAGCCCTCGCTAACGTCATCGGAATCTATGTCTCGACGCCTCACTCACTCGGCATCCTCTCGGGCTCCTCCGAGCCACCTAGCTCTGGAAAGTTCCGTGAAGGCTACGACAAAGCAATCTTCGCTCCAATCCTCAACTTCCATAACCGCACGAAATCTCCCTTTATGGTTAACCCGTACCTGTATTTCGGTTTTGGTCCCGAAACGCTAAACTACGCTCTGTTTAACTCAAACGACGCTGTTTATGTCGATCCGGTTACGAAGATGAAGTACACCAATATGTTTGATGCTCAGCTTGATGTGGTTTACTCGGCGATGAAACGGGTTGGGTACGGTGACGTGGACATCGTTGTGGCGGAGACCGGTTGGCCTTCAGCTAGTGAACCGAACCAGACCGGCGTCTGTTTAGAATATGCAGCATCTTACAATGGGAATCTTATTAAGCATGTGAATTCCGGTAAAGGCACTCCGTTGATGCCAAACTGGGTTTTCGAGACTTGCATTTTCTCACTCTTTAACGAGAATCTCAAACTTTTGGTTTCCGAGCAAAATTTCGGTTTATTTAATCTGGACTTTACCCCGGTTTACGATGTCGGTATCATGAAAATCGATCAGGTACCATAAGATTGGAACAATTAAATGGTGTGTACCATGATGGAAGGCAAGCGTTTTGTAATCAGGATGATCAACATTATACTATTCAACATTATACTATATTTTCCTATGTATAAATATTAGAAGAACGAAGAGAGAGTTTGTTGAAACAGAATAATCTTATCTCATTTATTTATCTTACTGAATCGTTACAATGAATGCTTCTTTATATAGTAAAGAAAAAGTGGTTAACTAGGATAAACCAGATTTGACTCTAACCAATTCACCTAAACCAACAATCTCAATTACTCTAATATCCCCTTCAAGATGGCGAGAAGATTGAACTAAGAGACATCTTGCCAATAAGCTCATGGAAGTGACCAGGAAACAATGACTTGGTGAACACATCCGCAATCTGAAGATCAGTACGAACGTGGAGCATCTTAATCAAACCACTTGCAACCCGATCACGAACTTTGTGACAGTCAATTTCCAAGTGTTTGGTTCTTTCGTGAAAAACCGCATTGCTAGCGATATGTATAGCTGCAGTTGAATCACAGTAGAATGCAACAGGCTGAGTTTGGGGAGCAAGCAAATCTTTCAACAGGTTCACCAACCATTCAACCTCACGCACTGCAAAACCCATAGCTCTGTATTCAGACTCAGCTGAAGAATGAGAAACAATTGGCTGCTTTTTAGATTTACAGGAAATTAAAGAATTCCCGAGAAACATACAATATCCCGTAGTAGAACGTCTTGTATCAGTGCAAGAGGCCCAATCAGCATCAGTGAATGTCTTGAGGACTAAATCAGATACAGATGCATAGAATAGACCCATTCCGAGAGTGCCTTTGAGATAGTGAAGGACTTTATATGCAGCCTGAAGATGAGAATCCTTAGGAGCAGAGGCGTATTGGCAAAGTTTGTTGACGGCGTAGGTGATGTCAGGCCTGGTAATAGTCAAATACATCATTTTTCTCACTAATCGTCGATAGACCTCTGGGTTATCAAGAGCTGGTTCGTCTCCATCTTGACAGAGTTTATTGCTTGGTTCCATGGGAATACTAGAAGGTTTGCAAGCAAGAAGACCTGCATCTTCAATCAGCTCAAGAGTATATTTGCGCTGAGACACATAACTACCTGAAGCCGTGCGAGCAATTTCTAATCCCAAGAAAAATACTTCAAAGAGCCAAGATCCCGAAGTTTGAAATATTGCTTCAGATCAATAGTAAGCTGAGCAACTGCATCGTCATTGTTGGAAGCAATGATAATGTCATCAACGTAAACCAACACCGCCACATACTTCCTGTCAATGTTCCTCACAAACAACGTATGATCAGTGTGAGTCTTCTGAAAACCAAGGGTCAAGAAAGTGGAGCTGAATTTTAAGAACCACTGCCGTGACGCTTGTTTGAGCCCATAGAGAGATTTATGAAGTCTGCATACAGGATTTGGAGGAAGTGCAGTGCCGGGTTTAGGAGTATAGCCAGGAGGTAGCGTCATATAAATCCCCTCATCAAGATCGCCATTTAAAAAGGCATTAGAGATGTCAAGTTGAGTGAGACTCCAATTCTTTACGGCGGCAACAACTAAAAGAGTTTTCATCGTGGTCATCTTGGCAACGAGAGAGAACGTGTCGACAAAATCGATCCCTTCCTGCTGCGTATATCCCTTAGCCACAAGACGAGCTTTATAACGCTCAAGACTACCATCAGCATTGAGTTTAACTTTGTAAACCCATTTACAACCGATAGCATGCTTATCCGAAGGAAAAGAACATACAGACCAAGTGTGAGTAGTCTCCAAGGCAATAAGCTCCTCATTCATCGCCTTAAGCCATTCATCAAACTTCTTGGCTTGTGTAAAGGACGATGGTTCAGGATGAAGTGAAATTGCACAAATGTATAGCTTGTATTCTCCAGAGAGTTTCACATAGGACATGTAAGACCCAAGCGGATAAGAGATATCAGTGGCAGACAAGTTGCAATAATAATCATGGAGATAAGATGGAGGCTTGACTACCCGTTTAGGTTCAACAGAAATAGAAACCGTAGAAGACGTCGGGATATCAGACGCAACCAAATCAGCCTCCTGAACAGGGGAATTATCGACGACTACATGATCGATCAAAGAAAAGAAATCAGGAGGATTGATAATCGTATCATCTAAAAAAGGGAATATGTCTTCATGAAAAACCACATTTCTGGAGATATGGGTAGTGTGAGTTTCAAGATCCAAGAGCTTGTATCATTTATATTCTGTGGGGTAACCAAGGAAAACACAAGGTCTTGCTTTCGGTTGAAATTTATGACGATGTTTGGAAGATGTAGAGCTGTAAACAAGACAACCAAACACTCGTAACCCTGTATATTCAGGTTGTTTATGAGTAAGAGTTTGAAATGGGGATTTGTTATCAAGCAACGGCGTAGGAAGTCTGTTGATTAGAAACACTGCTGTGAGAACGCAGTCCCCCCAATACTCCAACGGAATGTGAGCCTGAAACATCAATGACCTCGCCACATTCAATATATGTTGGTGTTTACGCTCGACGACTGAATTTTGCTCCGGGGTTTCAGGACATGAATGATAGGAAATGATCCCCTTTGCTTGATACAGTTCTGTAAACTTCAGCTCAGGAGCATTATCCGAACGAACTCCTTTCACAACAGCTTTGTACTGAGTCTCAATCATTGTCAGAAAATCTGAAAAAACCTTGAGAACCTCAGATTTGGTACGGAGAAGATAAATCCAAGTGACCTGCGTGTGATCATCCACTATAGTCAGAAAATATCTATATCCATCGACTGTTGGTATAGAAAAGGGACCCCAAATGTCAATGTGTAAGAGATCAAATGCAGTTTCACAGATATTGTTGTATGAAACATAAGAAAGGCGCTTTTGTTTGGCAAGAGGGCAAATAGCACAATGAAAAAGACTTTTATTTCTTTATTTGATACCAAGAACATCTGCAATACAGTCAATCTTAGATACAGATGGATGGCCTAATCTATTGTGCCACAAACTAGCGTCAATAACAACATTGACAGAAACAGGGGTATGAGTAGGAGAAGGCGTTGTGATTGAAGCTCCATCCAGTACGTACAGGTTTGAGATTTGTTCACCCTGACCAATCATCAATCCCCTGGTATGATCCTGTATCATACACGAAGCTTCATCAAAGATAATACGACATCCCAAATCTTTTGTCAACTGACTAACACTGAGCAGATTTAAACGGAAATCAGGAATGTAGAGAACATTATTCAGAACAAGATACTCATTTAGACGTATCTGCCTTATCCCTGCAATCCGAATATTTGAACCAGTCGGAAAAGTAACGGATTTATCCAAAGTAGTTGTCAAAGAGACAAACAATGCCCTGTCATGAGACACATGATGTGTCGTCCCACTGTCGATTATCCAGGATTGGGAAGACAACATACTACCAGTAGCTCGTAATACTCCAACAAAGCATAGTGTTGACAAGGAAAGGGACATACCAGGAAGAGTTGTGATTGTACCTCCTGAAGTCAAAGCCAAACAAGGCTGGTCAGAGCGCAGTTGAGTGTTGAAATATGCGATCACCCTCTGAATATGATCCTTAGATAGAGTTTGTAAGACTTCACCGGATTTGATAGTTGATTCCTGCACAGCAAGTTGAGCAACCACCGGAGTGACATTTTTCTTATCATTGTTCTTCTGTTTGTGCTTGAAATTTGGTGGATAACCATGAATCTTATAGCACTTATCAACAGTGTGTCCATTGTATCCACAGTGAGAACAAAGCGGCCTTGGTTTGGTGATAGTCGCATTAACCGAAGCCGGAACAGACTCAGATAACGCAACATTAAAAGCAGAAGCATTCTGAATCGGATGAATACTGCGTTGACTGTGATCTTGATCAAGAAGGTTGTAAACCTCAGCCACGAATCATTCAAGCCTGCCAGAAACTTGATGATCTTCGTGTGTTCTCCTTTAGTAGCGGTAGCCTTACAGCAAGAACAATTCTGACATGTCTTCACGCAATCTGCTCCATCAGGATCATCCCACAGAGTTTTAAGATGTGTATAGTAGATCGATAAATCTGCGGATCCTTGTTGGAGAGACCAGATTTGCTGAGTCAGTTGATAGGAGCGAGGGAGATTCGTGATATGAAAACGAGTCAACAAGTCTTTCCAAATCTCAGAAGCATCATTGAGTTGCAAAATACTTCCATAGATCGGTTTTGTGACCGTATTCAGAATCCACGACTTAACCATATTGTTGCACCGTGACCAAATGCGATAATGAGGATGAGAAACTATAGGTCGAGGAAGAGATCCATCAACAAAACCTATCTTATTCTTCGCATCCAAAGCAATTGTCATAGCAATATTCCAGGTGTTAAAGTTTGTTCCATCGAGTACCTCGGTGATTATGGAATCACCCGGATTATCACCACTGGTTAGAAAGTACGGTGAGTACTGGATCCTATCAAAGTCGAAAGTCTCGCGCGGAATCAAAGGTGCAGAGGATAACGGAACCATCGAAATGGATAAATTTGGATATAAAACCGTCGGAATAGACGAAGGAACGGAGGATCTATCCTGATTTGAAGATGCAGAAACGGAACCACCGCAAGATGAACGGCGCATAGATTTGCGAATAACAACCATGAGCTGGAATAAGCTTGAGAGGAGGCGGATAAACCAGAAATGGATTAATCGGAAGAAGAAATCCAATCAATCGAGATAAAAGAAGACGAAGGAAAAACCATCGGAAGCTCAGATCGAAGATGGTGAAGTTGACTTCACCGCTCTGATACCATATTAGAAGAACCAAGAGAAAATTTGTTGAAACAGAATAATCTTATCTCATTCATTCATCTTACTGAATCGTTACAATTAATGTTTCTTTATATAGTAAAGAGAAAATTGTTAACTAGGATAAACGAGAAATGACTCTAACCAATTCACCTAAATCAACAATCTCAATTACTCTAATAATAAACTATAAATATATTGGATTGATCACTAGAATATCGATATGATATGGTTACCACAGATACATTTGAAATACAAATAATTTCGATATCAAAATCGGATTTAGACAAAATAATTTCTTAGTACAGAATTATCAGTTCAAATAACAGAGAAGGAGCCACCTGAACCACTAAAAACCGGTTTATTCTGGAATCAAACTAATAAACCGGACCAAAACCAAACCAGAAGCTGACTTCAGTCTTGAGTTGGTGCGTTCTGATTGAGCTCGGCGAACCGCATACCAACACGCATTGTATGCTTGAGGAACTTCTCAGCGCACCTCATAACACAAGTCTCCTCTTGTTTCTGCAGAGTTTTGCGCGTGAAGGTGTCGACACAGTCCACAAAACACCTCTCGACCAGCGAATTGTACATCCTCAAGCTGAAAGTTTCAAGAAGCAAAAGTAAAGGTTTAAACACAGCACAAAGAAACTCTCATTTCGAGACAGATTAGCTTCTGAAACCAATCAATAGATAATGCATTAAGTTGTAGTTCCCTTAACGTTCAGCTACAGCATTAAATCGGATACACTGGTATTATAGGAGATCACATATGATTCAGATACAATGCAGACAACAAGCAAAGGATCCAAGCTGGTTGTGAATTAAAAACAATGTGGAGCTTTCTGAGTTTTCATAAGAGCAGACAACAAAGCATACGACGGAACAAAACTACCTGAAAGAGACTCTTGGTTCAAGGGAATCAAAACTAAATACTAGTTTCACTATCTCGGTTCAAACTTAGACCAATAACACAACAAATTAAATGATGCATACAACAACAGGATAGACCTGTTATGATGCGAGACACAAACGATTCCAAAGATCTGTAATTAGCTACAAAATGAGTATTTATTATCGATCTAACTCACAAACACTATACTTTGATTCAATCTAAGGAAAGTGAGACATTTCCCCCAAAACAAACCCACCTTTAATAGGCGTTGAACTTTAAAGAACAAAGATTTGATCCTAGTGTATATATGTAACGATCAACATACAGTAATTAACTCACAGATACATATGCGCAGGAAGATAATTCCAGCGAAAGTTCAAAAACACAAATGATTCAAGCTCGATGCTAATCGAAAATGGTGTCGAGGTTAAAACATTTCAATACATCCAAAAATACAGTGATCAAAACATAATTTCCCTGAATATTCCAAAGAACTGATCTAACCTTACACGAACATTCCCAATTCACAAAAGCTACAGATCTAGAACACGAACCTATCACGTAGCTGAAGCTGATCGATCATGGAGGCCATTTTCTGTTTGTCTTCTTCAGGAAGACCATCGAGTCCAGCCATCATGCTTGCGTCCATTTTTCCTCAACTCTTCTTGTTCTTTCTTCGTCTCGTCTACAGATCAGTTCTTCGTCCGCCTCCTATTTCTTCTTAAACCCTAGCGATTTTCTTTAATGGGCCTGATGGGCTTAATTAATTAAAATTTGATGGATGTCAGTTTTATTACAATTAAGCCCGTTACGTTTAGTTATACTCATTTTTCGCTAAAAAGCTGTGTCGATCACTAGGAAAATGAAAACATTAATGGCGAGTGTCTTCGATTGCAGACGAGGGTCGAGAGGTGATGATTACGAAAGAGGTGATTCATTGAATTATTTGGCCAGAAAAGTCACTTAAATTTAATTGTAACCATCGCAATTATTCAAAGTTCTTTTGTCGATTGGGTTTTAGAAATGGGATGAGGAACCCAAAGAGACGCATTTTCTCGGTAGATTGATCAATAAATCTGGAATTACTGGAGGAAAGTGGGCGGCTTCTTCTTTAATCGATGCACTTTACTGGGAAAAACAAACTTGGCCATGGGGAAATGAATTCACACTCATACGTTTCTGGGTTTTGGATGGTTTGAATCTTTATGGTAATTGAACATCATATTACTATATATAGGTGTAATCACAATGATCTTTCCCATTCAAAAATTTGATTCCCAGTACCACTACTGTTCTAAATAGCTTTCTTGTTTTGATTCTTCTCCTTTGAGTTTTCTTTTCATCTTTCCCTGATGGCTAATAACGCTGTGAAACCCAAGTTTAGCCTTAGGCTTCTCATTGATGAGGAGAAAAACAGAGTTGTTTTGGCTGAAGCTGGGAAAGATTTTGTTGATGTTCTCTGTAGTCTCTTGACACTTCCTATGGGGACTATTGTCAGGTTGCTTGAGAAGCATCAAGCTCCTCAGTCTCCCATCGTTGGTTGTTTTCACAGCCTTTACAAAAGTGTTTCAGACATGAGCGTTGATAATTTCGAGGCTCAAGCTTGTAAGAATCTCTTGCTGTATCCACGGAGTGTCAAGGAGAGTCATTGCAGGAAGCTGAAGCTCAACATTGATGGCACCGTGGCGACCAAATTCTTTGTCTGCCCAAATTTTATTATTCACGAGAATTGCTGTAAGGTTTACAGCAACCTTAGTACCTCAAGGTGTCGTTGTGGACGCTCGATGGCCCGCGAGATTCAGGTTCAAGGAAGCGAGCATGATGATGGAGTATTCCTTAGCTGCAGAACGTCGTTTATCATCACTGATGGTCTGAAAGTGTCATTGAACTCTATGGGTCTTGTATTGAATATCCTCAACGATCTTGGCTATGCTGGTTTTGATAAGCTGCAAGAAATGCTTGTTGATGTTGGTTTCCAAGAGGTACTTGGATTTTATACATTTATTAATTACACACGTTTCTGCGTAAGTCTTCTTCTCACTTGTATCAATTTTCAAATGCAGGTGCTAACTTTGCTAAGCTGTTTATTCACTTCGGAAACTCCCTTGACAGACACATTCCTGAGGAAACACTGTGTTACAAGGAAGCGTAAAGCGTTGACTCCACTGGTGCAAGAGAGTACGGTTGCAGGAGATGCGGACGAACTTTTAACGGTTAATGTTTATGTTAGAAAGACAGACAGTGCAATTCTTTATGCTGAGTGCAGAGAAGACTTTGTCGATCTTCTATTCACTTTTCTTGCTATACCGCTTGAGTTTGCTTGGGAACTTTCTGTTGACAATGTGAATATGGGCTGCGTTGGAAATCTGTGCAGAAGCTTGAAAGATCTGAGCTTTGAGAAGCATAAGGAAGCCACAGTTTCCAAATGCACGCTTCCTTGTTATTACAATTTGAGGGGGCTGCTGCTTGATATTGTCATCCAGGAAGGAGTTTTGAAATATGAATGCTTGGTCAATCGTTATTCAGGTTCATCTTCCAGCTTTTCAAGAAAGATTAAAAAAGATGTGCTTTCGGATGATGAAAGGGTTGCGACGTTAACCCTAATGGATCCAATATCCATTTTTGGCTTTGCGAAGGGAGAAACGAATTTCATAGTGTCAGACGATCTGTACATCACACCTATGAGCTCATCCTCAACAATCTCAATGTTAAGCAAATTGCAGATGAACATCGGTGATATTGAGGAGCATGTGATTAACATTAGCAAAGCACAAGTATACTTTTGTTTCTTTTCTTGTGAAATCTTACTTTAAGTTCCTTCTACTGAATCTCTACTTTTGTTGCAGGCCGTTAGCTTGTTGAGGGCTTCCTTGATAACAACCTCTGCATTAACCAATGGACTCTCCAACTTCCTCTCAAAGTTGAAGCCGAAAGAAGCAACTCCCTCAGCATCTAAGATACCAAAATCTGAGAAAGTCCTATGAAGCGTTCCTCTTGTTGTTACTTCTGGCTATTAGAATCTTCCAAGTGTTGTTTTGGCTCTTCTTTTTTTGGTGTGTGCGCAAGATATATATCTATTTTATTTAAATTATTTCATTCTCATGTCAACTAAAATTTCAAATCACACCCTTTGGTGAAGGTGTTTAGTTTCCCGTTACTATTTTGCTAAAGCTCTACAAATCAACAATATTGAAAGAATTTCGAAGTTGGTTCCAGTTGAATCTGAAATCCATAAACACTTTACATTCTGCTGCTACTGAATTTGTAAAGGAGAAAACCTAACTTTATCTGATGATCTGGTTGTCACTGACTCCATCCTAAACATTTTCATTATTAAAGAAGTAACTAATGAACATCAATGATATTAAGTAGCAAATGATTAACCTTAGCATAGCAGATGTTTATATGATTCTTGATTCTTCTTTCGATCCTCTGTTATTCTTGAGAAAGTCTCATTTTACTTTCTTCTACTCTGAGTAGAAGTATGTGTTGTCTTGTAGTAATGAGAATCATTGGCAGCTTTACTTATTAGTTAGTATTGTTCATTATAACGAACATCTGAGTTTCCCTCCTTTTCTAATCATTAGCTTAGATACAAACAAAGTACTTACGAGTAAATTGTGAGATCCACAAAAACAATATTTTCACTTGCCCCAAATTTAAGTTTTCAATTGCAAATCTCACGCTTATGATGTCTTTTTTATCATTTTCTTTTTTGGAACATCCCGATCGTATAAGTAAGCTTGTTATATGACAAGACAAGGGATCGACAAATCCACCTTAATTATGTAATTAACCGCATTGCTTTCGGTCAGTGAAAATGTTGAAACCGTAATCCTAATTCCTTAACTCTATAATCCAATCCAAAAAATTGTACTGTAGATCAAGTTTGATTGCAGCAGCTTCACAGCTATAAATCTCACATGCAGATGAAAGAACTTTAATGACATTATTATTAAACTATACCCCACGTGGGCACCACCCAATATATTTATTTAACTTAAAAATTTAATATCTTCTCACCAAAATCTAATCACTAGAAGTATCCGCAAAAGCATCTCTCACTCTCTGACACAATGACATTTGTTTTGTCCGCTCATCAAACGCGCGTGCAGTCTAACTCCGATCTATCGCGCGTGATACATTTCCCAATGATATTCTTTTTTTTTTTTTTAATTTCGTCCACCAAACTCTTCAACTCATCACTCTCTCTCTATCCACTTCCTCCTCTGTTTCTTCTCTTTACCACTCTCGTGACCTAACTCAAAATAATGGCGAACGTAATTACCATTTCCCATTTTGCCCCTGTCGCATTCGCCTATTTACTACTCCTACTCTCCTCCTCCGCCACCGCAATCAACGTCACCGCCGTCCTCTCCTCTTTCCCCAACCTCTCCTCCTTCTCCAACCTCCTCGTCTCCTCCGGCATCGCCGCCGAACTCTCCGGAAGAAACTCACTCACACTCCTCGCAGTTCCCAATTCTCACTTCTCCTCCGCTAGCGTCGATCTCACGCGCCGGTTAATTCCTTCCAACCTCGCAGATCTCCTCCGTTTCAATGTCCTCCTCCAATTCTTATCCGATGCCGATCTCCGCCGCATACCACCGTCAGGCTCCACCGTCACAACCCTCTACGAAGCCTCTGGCCGTGCATTCGCCGGATCCGGATCCGTTAACGTGACCCGAGACCCGGCTTCAGGCTCCGTCACGATCGGATCTCCAAACTCCGCGAAATCAGTCACCGTTTTAAAGCTCCTCGAAACAAAACCTCCCAACATAACAGTCCTCTCCGTCGATTCTCTCCTCGTTCCCGCCGGAATCGATATCACCGCATCGGAGACTTTCACTCCACCGCCGACACCAGGAACTTCTCCTATCTCTCCTCCTCCGGCGGGAATCAATTTGACACAGATTCTAATAAATGGCCACAACTTCAACGTCGCTCTCTCCCTCCTCGTCGCCTCCGGAGTCATAACAGAATTCGAAAACGACGAGCATGGCGCCGGAATCACTGTCTTCGTCCCCACAGATTCAGCTTTCTCCGATCTCCCCGAAAACGTTAACCTCCAGTCGTTACCGGCGGAGCAGAAAGCCGTCGTGCTCAAATTCCATGTCCTACATTCGTATTACACACTCGGTTCGCTCGAATCGATAACCAACCCTGTTCAACCGACATTAGCTACTGAGTTTATGGGAGCTGGTTCTTATACTCTCAACATTTCTAGGGTTAACGGGTCGATCGTAACGATCAATTCGGGTTTGGTTTTGGCCGTTGTGACACAAACGGCTTTTGATCAGAACCCGGTTTCTGTTTTCGGAGTATCCAAAGTGCTTTTGCCTAAGGAGCTGTTTCCGAAATCGGGTCAACCCGTGAGCAACACTCCTGCCGCGACGACTCCTCCACATGAGATATCTTTGTCGCCGGCGAGTTCCGGTGATCAGCCGTCGCGATTAGTATCGCCACCGGGTGAGGTAGTTTCTTCCGGCGCGGTAAAAAGGACACGTGTTTTCTTGGCATTGTGGTGTTGGTGTATAGCTATTTGTTGTGTTCTTTTGGTATGATTTTTTCTTCTTTATTCCATAATGCTCTTGCCTTCTATTAGGGCTTATTATTTACTGGATTTTTTTTTTCTACAAGGTTTTCATTTATTTATTTACGTCATAATGTAATTTTATTAAGTCCAGAAGAAAAAACAAATCACATTCCCATGTAAATTTGGATTGGATGGGCGATTTTGGGTAAAAACCCATGTCCTTTTTACGAGCTTATAAAAATGTTTCTTTTTTCACTTTATATATATATATGAGTTACTTTGTGTCAGTAGTATAATCGACTTGGTTTACTGTATGTATCGAGGGATTTTCCAGTTCACAATTTGCAAACCAATTAGAAGGTGTGAACACGTGGATTTTAGTAATAATAATGCTAGGGAAGTGGTGAATTTTTTCCAGAATGTAATAAAATCGAACATAGTAAGTTAAATTCGGCAGAATATAGTAAGTGCGTGACAGGTGCAGTTGTGGGTCCCACCAAGTTTGGCACCGACGGTCAAGATCTGCTGTCTCTCAGGTCAATTTCTCGCTAGATTTTCGGGGTGTCCAGGGCCGTCGGATCTTGAGATCCAGTTTCCATGCGCGCGTGGGGATGTCCGGCCAGATCTACCGCTAACGTATTGTTCACTCACTCGGTGAAGAGGTGAGTCATACTCGGTGGTCGCTCACACACTACTACCGTACTAACCGTATTTTTAGTTAAATACATTTGATTATGCGTTTAAAAATTATACTAATTTCTCGAAACTCTTTACAAATTAAATTGAACTACATCAGATCGGCTAGAGCAATGAACGTGTAAGTAATTGTAATTGGTACCATACTTGCTGACTTTTCTCCTACCTAGCAATAAATAAGTAAAGGATCACCGATCATTCAAATTTCAAACCTAGTGACCTTTTTGGATCACACAGATTTGGACTTTTCTTGATTAAATTAACTTTTTTGTTTGTCTCTTTATTCAACCAATCTAGACAATAAATTAGTTGGTTTCTGAACTAACCCAACAGTATGAAGCAGATTTAAATCCCCCATCTCTCTCTCTCTCTTCTTTCTCTAAATCTGAGAATGTCGATGATGAGCAGAAACCGAAGCAGCATCGCCATGGGAACAACTTCGTTTCTTGAGATGAAGAAACAAGCTTCCTTTTTCCTCAAAGAAAAACTCAAAACGGCGCGTTTAGCTCTCACTGACGTCACTCCTCTTCAACTGTTAGTTTTTCTTTTTCTGTTCTTGCTTCTCTCTTTTTCTTTTTCCTCTCTTGTAATAGATTTTATTGTTATAACTCATGAGATCGATGGATTATTGATATTTATTATATGTGTATGTAATTGTGATTTTAAATGATATGTATAACTTTGAACAAAAAAAAAATGATATGTATCAATTTCGTTGAAGAATGACTGAGGAAGCTACAGATGGACAGTCATGTGGACCAAACACACAAACCTTAGGATCTATTTCAAAGGCTGCTTTTGAGTTTGAAGATTACCTTCGGATCGTTGATGTTTTGCACAAAAGGTTTCAATTATTTTCCGAATTCCAAGTTTCAATTGTTTTTAACAAATAGGTTAATTAATCCTTAAATAGGGGCATGTCGTGTATTATTCTATTACTTAGTTAAGGAGGGTTTTTTGTTTGTTTTGGTGTTAATAGATTGGCAAGTTTTGATAAGAGAAACTGGAGAATGGCTTATAACTCGCTTATAGTTGTTGAACATTTGCTCACTCATGGACCAGAGAGTGTCTCTGATGAGTTTCAAGGCGATAAAGATGTTATCTCGGAGATGCAGACTTTCCAACAGATCGACGAGAAAGGGTAATAATGGTTCTAGGGTTTCAAGGCGGAAACCTAGTTGAAGTTTTTCAATGTTCTGAGATAATTAGATTTTGTTTCTTGGCAGGTTTAATTGGGGATTAGTTGTTAGAAAGAAATCAGAGAAAGTTTTGAAGTTACTTGAGAAAGGGGTATTGCTCAAGGAAGAGAGGAAGCGAGCTCGTGAGCTGTCTCGAGGGATTCAAGGTTTCGGTAGCTTCAGCTGCAAGGCTTCATCTCATTGTATGTCAGAGAATGAAGTACTTCAAGAATCTTCTTCAGTCTATAGGAAATGCAATTCAAACTTTACCAAGTACAATGAGGATGAACAAGAAGAGATCAACACAATGGTTTCTCCTAATGAAACCGGCAATACCCCTCAGCGGTTAGTGATTGGCGCGAACGAGGAACCTAGGAGGAGTATGAAAGAAAATATGGATCCTGAAGAAGATGAGAACACAGAGGTAAACCCACTTCTTGGCTGTGTTAAAAAGGAGGGTCAAGATCTAGCTGAAGAAGACGAGAACCATCCATTTACGGATGGCGCAAGTAAGCATATCGTCTCATTGCTTGATGAGAACACAAACTGAATATATATATAAATGACATCTTGGTCTGTATAACAGATTGAGCAGAGACCAGAGAAAAAAAAAAACTCAGAAGAAGATAATGTGTGTATACAATATATAATAATAAACACTCTGTTAATGACTGTTCTGTTTTTAACTTGTTTTGCTTCAAAAGTAAGATTATAATAAACAATGACGAAGAAGAATAAAAGAAACACATAGAGAAGAAATGTAAGTAGTGATGGGGAACTGTCTGGCTTCAAGGTGAAATGATTATCAAATTTTTTACCGCACTTGTTTTACTTGTGAAATTTTGATCAGAAGCACTTCCTGTGGACAATGGATGGTCCAGATTCGTCATACTCGGCTTTCGCAATCCACATCTGCACCAGTTTTGTAACAGTTTATACACCAAAACACTAATAGTATAATAGATTATATATGATTTGTATGTTTTTAAGTATAGTACAAGTAATCTACCTGCTGGAAAGTGCTGAGGGAAGCCAAGATAGAGCCACCGATCCAAACACTGTACTTCCTTTCCGGTGGAGCCACAACTTTGATCTTCATACTGCTCGGAGCCAAGGCGGTGATCTCTTTACTCATCCGATCACCAATCCCACCGAACATTGTGGTTCCACCACTAAGGACAATGTTACCATAAAGATCCTTCCTGATATCCACATCACATTTCATGATTGAGTTGTAAGTAGTTTCATGGATCCCCGGATTTTCCATCCCTATCATGGATGGCTGGAACAGGACTTCAGGGCACCTGAAACGCTCTGCCCCGATGGTTATCACTTGACCATCGGGCAGCTCGAAGCTCTTCTCGACAGATGAGCTGGTTACGGAAGTCTGGAGCTCTTGCTCGTAGTCCAAGGCAATGTAAGAGAGCTTCTCCTTCATGTCTCTGACGATCTCACGCTCAGCAGTTGTGGTGAAGGAGTAACCACGCTCGGTCAGGATTTTCATGAGGTGGTCGGTTAGGTCACGGCCTGCAAGGTCGAGACGCAGGATTGCGTGTGGAAGAGCATAACCTTCGTAGATGGGAACCGTGTGGCTCACACCATCTCCAGAGTCCAAAACAATACCTAACAATTTTTTTTTGCAAAATATGAGCAATCAATGAGAAAATATAGCAAGATTTTGAAATCCATATCGCATTTTATTTAAAAGCAAACCGTAACAATATTTCAATACGGAAAATATAAATTTAGGGATATTCAATCTCAATTTTGGTTCGATGTTACAGGTTTTTGGTTTATAAATAGTTATACCAAGAGAAAACCAATTGTTTTTATAGATGGTTTCGGTTCAGGTTCAACTTCTAGTGAAAGATTACTAATTTTTCAAAGAAATTTCGGTTTAAATCGTGTTTTTTCTCTTCTTGGTTCAGTGTGGTTTTGGTTTTTGGTTAATAGAAAAATTGTTATGCTGTATTAGTATTACTATGGTTCGGCTTTTAGATCGGTTATTCTTGTTTGGTTTGGAATGATCGATTCGGTTCAGTTAATCCGGATTGAACATGTTACAAATTGCCCTATGCCTAAAACTATATATATCAAGCATTGTACCATTAAGCACAATGTATTGTAAGGAAAAGTAACTTAGCCAGAGAAAGAGTTGTGTTCAAGAAAGAGAAAAGGGTTAAAGACTTATGAGTGTACTGACCAGTAGTACGGCCACTGGCATAGAGGGAGAGAACAGCTTGAATGGCGACATACATAGCAGGAGTGTTGAACGTTTCAAACATGATCTGAGTCATCTTCTCACGATTCGCCTTGGGATTGAGAGGCGCTTCGGTAAGCAGAACCGGGTGTTCTTCGGGGGCGACACGAAGCTCGTTGTAGAAAGTGTGATGCCAAATCTTCTCCATGTCATCCCAATTGTTGACGATACCATGCTCGATCGGATACTTGAGAGTCAAGATACCACGTTTCGACTGTGCCTCGTCTCCAACGTATGCATCTTTTTGTCCCATCCCAACCATCACTCCCGTGTGACGTGGACGGCCAACGATACTTGGGAATACAGCTCTTGGAGCATCATCTCCTGCGAAACCGGCCTATACGAACAAGAGAGCTTTGATCATTGATTCACTTTTAACTAATGACATATAGAAGTAACATTCATATTTTGTTTTTGTTAGCTTTTACCTTGACCATTCCAGTCCCGTTATCGCAAACGAGCGGCTGAATATCTTCACCGTCCGCCATTTTTCAATCTTTTTTCTGATTACATCAAAAGAAGAATTATAGCAAAATTATACATCCATAAAATGTAAATCAAGAAAGAAATCAGATAAAATCACCAATGTATAACAAACTAGTTCACTATTTTTTTGGCACATTCAGTTTGATTTTGCCCTTTTCGATGGTTTCTTAAGATGCTAAAGAAGAAAGAACAACAAATTCGTCAAATGTTTCTAAAATCCATAGAAACATACGATCCTAATCGCATTTTTTCTAGCTGATTAATTCAAAATTTCTCTCATTTTACACGTGAAATCAACAAATTTTCGAAACCAATAGAGAGATTAAGTAACAACATCTACCTGTTAAATTTACGTAGAAGAAAGAAGAGAAAGATTGCGTTTGAATGGGGTTTTCAAAATTTCTTGTAAAAGGAAGGAACTTTGCCCCTTAATATCGTTCGGCCATAAACGGATATAAGCCGTTAGTTTTCTTCATTAGTCCAATATCTCAGCATATAACGACATGTGTCAACCTATTTTGGGGTCGAGAATTATGACAACACTAGCCTGACCGAGAATTACGGTTTCAGGCTCTGTTTTTACCGGAAGAATCGGGTCCCCGGAAAGAATGGCTCCTTTGGACCTTTACAATTTTTAGGCTTTTCACTAGATAAACTAAAACTACCCATTACTTTTAATTTTGTCATTCTGTTAACCTGATTGTTAGTTGCTCATTTAGTCATTTTGACTTGTATTGCCAAAACAATAATTCTTTGATTTCTTTCCTTTTTGTTTTTGATGTGGGTAAACATTATGGATAAATTTTATAATAATTAAGTCATTCATTTATAGAAGGAAAGTACAGTAGAGACAACAAACGACGAACAACTCACCAAAAACAAAGACAGAGCAAAAAATGACTAAAAGCTAAACAAAAGTATATGACAAACTAATGAAAGTTTTACTATGTTTGTTAATTGTATTTTTATATTTTTAATAACATAATTATGTTATATCACTATTTTTAACATACTAATAAAACTTTTATCAAATAGTTTTTTTTCATGTTTTTGTTCTTAGAAGGAATGCCTTTATTTGTATTTTTAAATTAAATATATAAAATATTATAATTTACCTTTTTATAGTTTTTTATGACAAAAAATTTAAACATAGACTTTTTAAAGCATCTTCACCGATATGATTTTATTGGGTATCTCAATAATTTAAAAAGAAAAAAATTGAAAAATATGAAATAGAAAGAAATATAACTCTTTAACGGGAAAGACGCTGATGACACATATTTATATTTAAGTAGTTTAAAAAAATAAAACTATTATTTTTTAGATTTTATTAAAATATTAATATTTTTTTTTAAATATACTCTTTATATTTTTTAACGATGGAGGTAATCTTATATTCAGATTTATATTCAGATGTAAGAGTCAAATATATGATAATATTATCATCTCAAATATTATTTGATATGCTAGTTTAGATTTATTATATTTTAAATAATCAATATGTTATTACATTATTACATAATTTTTTTTATGCACTAATATCTATTTTCATAAACTATTATGTTTCGAAGCTCAAATTCTCGAGACTGATCGAAAATATAAAGTTAAAATTAAATATTTTAGGAGTGATTAGAAATTGCTGAAAAAGTTGGAAAATGAGAGTAGTGATAGCGGTAATACCGTAATAGTTATGATGATGGGATGTGGGTGGGTTGGGGGGGAGGTGTTAAACTAATCAACACTCTCCATTATTTAAGAATTTTTTCTAGTTCAATTATTTTATTAGTGAGAAGTCTTTGCACAAGTATTTATGATATATGAAAGACTGGAACATATGATGAAATATATAATTCAATGAATTTGTAACGTTCAAGCTGAACAGAGAAAAAGAAATCACATGGTTGATTTGTTGAAAACCGATTATATTTAAAAAACAAAGAAGAAAAAGAAGTAATTATTGTTGAACCAGAAAATTACCATTATGATTAGTAATTAACAATTGTAGGTTTTAAAGAATAAACTTTTTATTAAATAATTTTTTTTTTTAAATATCGAGAAAAAAAACTTTTTATTAAATAACTCAAAAGCGAAGCGACTGTAAGAGTTGGTATAACCGAGAAGTTATGCTGAAGTGAAAGAAAAAGTGTTTAAGCGATAAACTAGAAAGCTTCGAGTTTTTTGGTATTGTTATGCCGTTCTCTAGAATGTATGAGTTGTCTTGAAGCTATCTGAGATCTTTTTATTTATAGGAATAGGAGGTCGGTTGCTGCGAGCACTTTTTCATTTTCTTCTTGCGTGAATATTTCCATATTTGCGATATGAAAATATCTCTTATTTTACGAAAGATATGGAAATTCTCCTTTATCCTTAAATATTTTCCCGAGCTGATCCGATATTATAGGGATTAATAAGCATCCTCGAGTAGTATTCCTTTTCAGATTAATTCGGTGCATCTTCCTTGGTTTTGACGGACTTGAGTTATTGTTAGAGAAAGTCTTTTAAGAAATGTGCTCATTTCCCCTCTAACAATAAGTCCCTCCAGTTTGTCGAGACTGATTGCAAATCAGCTCCGTAGACTTCATGAAGCGAATTAGTTTGATCTCGCAATAAGTGTTAGTTTGTCAATAGCGTTCCTTCGCGATGGCCAGCTCGGCCCATCATTAAATAGATTTGACACGTGGCGCTTTTCTTACTAATTTTTTTTAATGCACGGCCATTAGGTTTTCGTTCAAAGCGGGAAAGGCGAAAGGTTTTTGATACGAGAATCGGAGTTCGATTAAAGAGCCCAACTAAGTTTCTATTTTCTAACTTCAATTTTCATCTTCTTCAGAAAGAATCTCCCATTCCGAAGCATTTTTCATGTTTTCTTTTGAATTTCTTTTGGCGGAGATGGGATTAAGGAAAAGAAATAAAATTCATTTGGTTGAAGTTGACATCCCAGAATGCTCTCCGGCTAAGAAGCCCTAGATTGCGACTCCGCCAAGAGATCTGTCGCCTTTCGAAGATGCTCCGTCGAAAAATCCTGCTGTCGATGTAGCCGATGCGCGATCTTCTTATCCTCCTCCTCCAAAGATTTTGGCCGAGAGCCCGATAGATGCTTCAATGATTGAGGAACAAGATCCCGTTTCTGCAGAGACAGAAAACCAGAAAACTGATTCGCCAGTTTCTGTAAATAGTTCGTCAAAAGATCCGGGGAATCAAGGCGCCAATAAAGACTCAAGTTCCAATCCTCATCAATTCGTGCTGTGCTGGAATGGAAATTTCCCGGCGATGTTGGATGAATATTTCACTCTGAATTTGGTCTGGCAGTGCAGGGTGAAGCCTAACAATGGGATGTCTGTTGAGAAATTGAAGTGGTTTGTCAGTGTCTCGGGAATGGCTCAGCGTTTTGTGCAGGGCCTGGGATTATGTGCATCCCTGATAGAGTCATATAACAAAGATTTTGTGTGAGAAGAAAGTAAAGCCAAGGAGTTAACAGCCAAGGATCGAGAGCTTTGCTGTGCGATGGCGAATGTTAAGGAGCTTGAACGTGAAAAGCTTGATTTGAGCTTAAATGTCAAGAACTTAAAGTTGAATCTTCCAAAGAGAAACAGTTGCACAGAGAAAATCTGGAGAAGAGGGCGGTTAAAGAGCGTAAGAAGATGGCTTTTACAGATGAGGAAGCTCGGAAATTACATCGGAGATCCATTAAGCGTATGGCCGATCTAATGCATCAGCGTCCTTGCGATTGGTATTATCCGCGTATCAATCGGATAAAGGCTTTTATGGCTCAAGAGGAGGAGATTCGCAAGCTCGAGATTGTCGATACCGAAGCAAGAAAGCTTGCTATGAGCAGTTGCGTTCTAAGGGTTGCAATATTCCTGTTGGCGAGCTCCTTTCCCTTGGATCTAAGCTTAATCGTTTGAAGGTACAACGATGGAATATTAGGGATGCGCCTATTGCAAGGGATGATTTCGCAATATTAGGGAAGGTACAACGATGCAATATTAGGGTTAGCTTTTCTTGCGAACTGCTTTCTTTGATGTCTTTCGACGATATCTTCTGATATTTTATGTTTATTTCAGACCGACGGAAGCGGCCATTCGTTCTTGGAGTCCTGATTTTAGAGCAGTGGGAATTTGAACGCCTAGATGGCATTTCAATTAGATCAAGCTTTGTCCCCCTCTTTTTTAGTTTTCTGTAATAGGTTCCCCCCTTCTCTCTTTTTTTTTGTAAAATATATGCGAGGTGCTGCGCTGACTCGAATATATTGCTTATTTTGAATTTTGTTCGAACAAATCAGACGAAGTGACGAGTTTATCTAGTTGATTTAGAAAAATTAATCAATCGAAGTGGCAACAAAATTGTGTAATGATTTAATGCTTTAAGCGCTCGTTGACGAGGTGACCCTTAGCTTTGAAGGATTCGCGTAGTCGACTTTTTGACATGCGATGTGGGGACATTCTTTAGGCAAGCGCTGGGGGTGAGATTCATTCGCTCGTCTTATATCAAACGACAACAAGATCGAATACCAAGCTTTTAGGATTCACTTTGGCCTGAAAGGTACGATCAAGGGTTGTGCGAGTATTGTCCTCGGCTTTCGTCTTATCCACTTCGAAAGTAATTAAATTGAACCAAAGTATCACATTAGTGGTGATCAGCCACATAATTTGTTTATGCTTTTCTTATAAATCAAACATTTGGCCAGAACGTTGATTTATTAGACGCAGTCGATTTTGACTTGTAGGAGGAATTTTAAAGCTCTTTACTTTGAACGCCGAGCTAGTTGACAGAGATAAAGATAATTTCATTAAGATTATGACTGAACCCGAAGGCTGTCTACGTACCCGATACATGATCAAGTCATTTGTAGTTCTTGTAACAAATGCAGACTTAAATGCCGAGCTGCTTATCCTAAGGGTAATACTTCCTTAAGTTCATCAAATTCCATGCTCACTTGACCGGCTTTCCATCCATATTTTCCAGTCTGTAGACACAGGGTTTGACGATCTTCGTGATGTGA